GCGTGTCCGAGAGCGAGAAGCCCCCTCCCCTCCCCTCGCCTGCCCGAGCGCCGCGCCTGACACCTGCTGCCGAGTCACCAGATGCGGAGCTGGCGCGATGGAGCAGCCAGACCCCAAAGCGACTGGAGGCAACTTAGGGCCGCACAGGGCTCCCTCCGAGAGTTGCCAACAGGTTACCAGCGGCACCTCCGGGTCCCCTTCTTGGGGCGCACAGCCCCTGGCTCTAGCGAGGGGTCTCCCTGCCCCGCCCCCTGCCACCCCCTTTCGCAAAGAACGTGCTGCTGGACTTCCCCGGGACTCAAACTCGCACACCTAGGCTGAGATGTCGCTGCACAGTTAGGCTGAGTTCGGAAGACACCAGAAGGGAAGCGCAAGGATCTGTCCTTCTCCAGAACCAGGCAGAGCGCCAGGAACTCCTAGACAGGAAACTTCCCCAACCGAAGCTAGAACCAGTCACGCGACTCGGCCAGGTGCTGGGAAACGCTGGCTCTTCACACCAGGGTGCGTGGGCCAAGGCCGAGGGGAGACGAGGCGAAGGAAATTGGAAAGCGTTTTGGACAAGCATCCGTAAGGAAGGTTTTGTATGAGGTCTCTAGCAGCTCTACCCGGACATAATGCTAACCGACCCCATGGGCATTCATCACACCGTGTTATTTGCCCTCTTAAGCAAACCAAGGACGGGAATGTTTGGGAAGATAAGGACAAACCAATAAGCCACTTGTGACCATAGTTACTTCCTGAGAAAACCAAAATTAAAATGCGTACGTCTGTGTCCTCTAGACTTAAGTGTCTCTTTTGAGAAGAAAGGTCAGGTCGACCAGTTCTCCTCTGAGAAACCGAAATAAAATTCCCTCCTACTCTCAACTGTGTGGTCAATTGGCCGTGACTTAGGTTTAAGCCATTTCTAATTGATTGCAAAACCATCCATTCAACCTGTGCCGCCACCCTTTCCGCCCCCCACACACATCCTTACACACTCACTGTCAGCCTGTGAAATCTTGCCCCTTACTTCAAGAAGAGCTCAGCTGACACTTTCTTGCCCTTCCCCCACCCCCCAATCCTACCAGTCACTCATTTGGTCTCTTGTGAAACCTCTCACTTTCCTCAGTTCATGGTTAAAGGGACTGATGCTGACACCACCATTGCCTGAGTTCAAATCCTGGTTCCAGCATTTACTAATTTTGTAACTTGGTGCAAAGTATTTATATCAGCTGTAGCAATGGGATAATAATGGTACCTATTTTATTGGTTTATTGTGATGTAAGGAAATTGATAGATGTAAAGGGCTGAGGGCAGTGCCTGACATACAGGACTCTCTAATTCAGTAGCAACTCTTTCCAGAAACCACTCTCGCGACTTCTGCTCTGTAGATGATCACTGACACCTGTCCAGCTCTAAATTCCATCATTTTCTATCAGATGACTTCTAAAGCTACCTTCATATATTAACTTGGGTCCAGCAACCTATGTCAGAATCCCAGTTCCAATTGTTTTATATGTGTCCAAGGGCTAATAACTTCCCTTTCTCATCTTTAAAATGTAGAAAATAATAATGCCTATTTCAATTAGCTGTTGGGAAAGATTAAATGAAACAACATATGTAAAGTGTTTAGAATGGTTGTTGGCACATAGTAAGAACTCATTAAGAGCTAGCATCATTATCATCATCCTTATATTTTATCATGATGACTCAAAGAAAAGAAGGCATCATTGCCTATTAGGACAGGTCTACCTAACCTTCCTTCATAGTGTGGGAAGTATTATGCAACACCTTTTCCATCCACAAAATACCCAAAACATTTTGTTGGGCCAACCTACTTCTTTAATCTTACCCAAGGAATGTCTGTCTATTTTGATCCTACTAGGTGTCTATCTCTGGACTAGTCGGGAAAGCAACAAATTCACACAAAGCGGATACTGGGCTCAGGGAGTTTACAATACTGTATATTATTTCCAAAATACTTGTGTGCAATCTTGGCTAAAATAAAATTCATTTCTAGAACCACTTTATTCAGTTTCTAATCATTGTCAAATGTCGCAGAGAAAATCATCTTTTTGCTGTTGCTTTTACTGTTTCTGATATTTGGGACTGAAGGGATAGAGTGACTCTGCCTTGCTTATACCACCTTCTCATTGGAGCTTCACATGTCTCAAAATGGTTACAGAGTTATATGCCATAGCCCGTTGTGCCAGCTTGTTGCTCTTCCTTAGAAGCAGTAGCGATCCTTGTCCCTCCTCCCCACAGTAACCACCAAAATGTATGCACTAAGATTCCCACATTTTCTATGACTAACCTTAGGTTATTCTTCTTGTGACATGGATGTGTATTATCCTCTAAGGGAGCCATATTACCAACTGGGTGCAGAAATAGTAAACTCATCATGTGTCAGCCATTCATCTCAAATTTTATATACATTATTTCACTTCGTCTTTAGAAAACTATACAAAGTAATCACTGTTGTTACTTCTGTTTAACTGGTGAGGAAATTACAACTCAGAAATGTAGACTGGTTTGCCAGGTTTATCAGTAGTAATCAGTATCTCAAGGATTTGAACCCACAATTCTGACTCAAGAGCCTCAAACTCAATGGCTACAGTGTAGTACCATCTGGATTAGGGTTTAGATGCTATGGACTCTGACATTTCCCAGCTCTGTGCCCTTCAGAAAATCACCGATCATCTCTAAGCTTCAGTTCCTTATCTGTTAAAAGGAGAATTTCTGCTTCTTCACAAGGTTATTGTGAGAATCAACTCAGGTAATGAAAGAGAAAGTTATATATTAAACCTTGGAATGTTGTAGGAGCATCCAGGATTACTTTTATTATTGCCTTGATCTTTTATTGCCTATTACTTTTTTCGCCTGTTCTTTTCTGAAAGCCCCACACATTTTAAAGTGCATGACTCTCTTGCTTCCCAGGACTTAAACAATAACAATAATAGGTGAATTTCTAGTATTTGATATTTATCGAGTGCTTACTATGTGTGATCTGTGTTTTAAACTCTACATGATTATATCACTTTATAGAGCTATTTTTACCCTAATTTTAAAATGAGACTGAGTCTCAGAGAGGGTAAATAGAGGGTCAGTAGCCCAAGATCAGCCAGCTGTGAAGTGGTACAGCTGAGTTTTGAACCCACAATCATCTGATTACAAAGCCGGGGCTTTCAATTTCTATGTGATGGTTCTCAAACCTCAGCATACATAAGAATCACTTAAAGGGTTGGTTTGAAAGCCCCTGTGCTCTAGCTTTCATGATAGATTCACTTGGTTTGGGAGAGAAGTCTTGGAATCTAATTTTTGTTTAATTGATAGACTATATTTTAGAGCAGTTTTAGATTTACAGAAAAATTGATCGGAAAGTACAGAGTTCTTAACTCCCTCTTCACTCTCCCTCTCCCCGTCCCAATTTCCTCTATGATTAACATTTTACATTAATATGATACATTTGTTACAAAGATGGGCCAATAATACATTTTTTGAACTAAAGTCCATAATTTAGGTAGGACTGAAGGGCTTATAAGAAGAGAAGACAGAGCTCACTCAGAGGAAAGCCATATGATGACAAAGTAGCCGTCTGCAAGCCAAGAAGAGAGCCCTCACCAGATCCTTCTGGAAACTTAATCTTGGACTCTGTGGTCTCCGAAACTGTGAGAACATAAATCTCCCTTGTTTAAGCCTTGCGATCTGTGTTATTTCGTTATGGTAGCCCAAGCAAAGTAATACATACCCAAGACCACACGTTGAGAAATCACTGCTCCTCACAAGAGGTAAACCAGGTGTGGTCTGCACTCCAGCAGCATCTGTGTCATCTGGGAGCTTGTCTGAAATTCAGAATCTGGAGCCTTGCCTCAGACTTACTGAATCAGTATCCTCCTTTTAACAACGTCCTCAAGTGGTTCCAGATATGCAGATTGAAAAATATGAGAAGCCCTGCTCGCAGACATTGTTAGGTTTACCTCGGGCTCCTCCGAGGCACCCAGAACTACTGGGCATGAGAGGGGGGTTGTGTTATAATCACAATCCATTCACTGCATTTTCCCCCTAGTGAGATGAATCTGCTTTACCTTTTGCATCAGCCCCTACTCAAAAGGATAGAATTGTTTATTGCTTCATTATGTTTCAAGCAGCCAGTATCCACGACCTTGATCATCTGACTAGACTACATCTGCAAAATGCTTTGTGATTCATAATCTCTCACGATTATAATAAACAGGGAAACTAATCTACTTCGAACTCCTCACATTAAAGAGAATCTTCATATGTCATGATGAGACAAAAACAAGGTAACCATTTTAGGGCAGGAAGATTAATTGGCATTCCTGTATGATTTCTATATTCAGTAGCCGATTTGGTCTTTACGACTTTGAAAAGTAGACAGGTCAGATTTCATTATCCCCATTTTGCAGATGAAGAAACTAGAGCACGCTTATTTAAATTTTCACAAGGAGCACAGGATGCAGCCAGGACCCAAACCTTCATCTTCTGACATCTTTCAGCACTTCGGGCTATAAGCCTTGCCAAGTTTATATGAGCTGGAGTACTGCCAAATGAACTGCAGTTCTCTAGGCACCAAAATTCAGATTTGCCTTGCAACTTCGGCTTGCAGGATAAGTCCATATTATAAATGTAAAGGTATTATATCGCTTAGCTGTGTTTCCCGACTTGGAAACTTCAGGAAATCAACCCACTGGCTACATTCTCCATGTGGCAGGAGAAGCGATTAGGGGATTTGCTCCGGAATGGAGATTTAGTTAAACCAGAAAGCTCTGTGACTACTTAAAGTTAATATCCTTAATGAAGTTAATGCTGAAGAGCTTTTACCTAAATTCCCTATCTCTAGG